TTTTGATGCTTAAAAAGTTTTTTTTTGATTGCGCTGGGCGTATGTTTTTTTGATGCTTATAAAGTTCTTTTTTGATGCCTCACCCTTTTGAAGATGGAGTTGTTCAACTGGGTTTTGTATGGATTCCATGCGCCAGGCAAAGGACGTTCTGGAAGATGTACCTGGTTATGGTTGGCATGCATGCTCGTTGTGCCGACTATTTTCCCAGCTTGAACTTTGTTTATCGGACCACCTGATGGACCTTTTTGCCGGGCTTCTGAATTTGCGGAAAGCGGCCTGCAAGGAATGTTCCTGATTATGTCATCTTGGAAGACGATGAGCTGATTTGCAGCATGCCTGCGGGTGGGATGAGAAAACTGGAGCTTTCAAGTTTGAACATTCACGAAAGTTGAGCATGCTTAATGCTTAGCCCAAGGCACTCTCTGCCAGTCCAGGGCCAGCAAGGTCGATCAGAGACATGCCTTAAAGTGCAGCTTTCTTTGTGCTAGGTGCCTGCAAGCCAAGTAAATGTCATGATTGTCATAGCAGCTGAGGATGTACCTTCACTTGCATGGCAACTTGGACAGCAGGCCACATCACTAGAGGCCATGTTGTCCTACAGCGGCCACAAGAACAGCTCGTGCTGATGATATATCTCCAAGGCAACAGGCATGCCAAAAAAGCACGGGCTCTTGGCCATGATGACATAATCTGGATAAAAGCGGCTTGGCAGAGTTGTCTGAGTAGCATAAGGCTCGCTGTCAAACTTCCTGCCTCTGCTCGAAGACCCAGGAGAAGAATCAGCTGGTGTACACGCTGACGGGCGAGCTAGTAGTTCGCATCCTGACTGATCTGCGCTTGTGTGATTACATGCCAAACTGTGTAATGCAGCATGCCGAGTCTCTCACAGCTAGTTGTAAGGAAAGAACTTTGTGATACCACGTGCTGCGGCCTCGGAAGCTGCGTCTAGCAGTCTACTCGTCATTGGGCGGTCATGCTGGACTTCATATGCTTTGACAACTTCAGCCGTGCTTGCAGGAGCCATCGGGCAACAGCATGCCATCTTTGCCGGAAGGTTGGGCCTCAAATGTTGATCCGGCTTCCGGTAGAACTTACTATTGGCCAGTTCCTCGTATCAAAGATAAGTGCGGATGATGTGAAGCCTGCAAAACATCGTCCGAACATTCAATAGCTAACAAACAAAGATGAAAGTGCAAGGTTGATCAGCCAACTCAAAGCCAGTGGGAGCACCCAGGGAGAACAAGTTCACCCTCTAAAGGCGGGGTGCTGTGAATTTGACAGTCTCTTCTTACATCTGTACAGTGCACACTGCCATCAGGTGCATCCGGGTCAGTCAAGCAAGATGCCTACAGGAAAAGCTGCCACCAACTCAGATGTACTGTAGTATGGCATTGCTGACTTGATCCATCCTTGCTGTGACAGTTGTCATGTTGGATTGTCTGCACATTCTGCTGAGGCAATGAACTCAGTCCTCTGCCCGAGGATTGGGAGGAGCACGAAGCAGATGATGGAAGAATGTTCTACTACTGCACACTGTCCTGATAGTCTATGTGCTTGCTGAGGTGTGTTCTGCATCCTTTCAATTTTGGTTTCTTCTGAACAGAGGTCTCAGAACTTTGAAAGTGCAGTGGCAGCGTCCGACCGTCGCCAGCCCCCTGGCTGATCGTGCCCATTGTCGAGAATATGTGAGCACTCGGGAAGCTGCAACCACTCCAGTCGTGGTGCAGTCCGCATCGTCGACACGCGATGAGGAATGCCATGCCACATCATCGCCACCGGTGGAGATGTCAAGTCCATCCAGTCAGGCCCAGCAGCCAGCGGCGTGTAGTCTGGACACGAGAACACTGGCCCCTGGCTGGGCTGTCTACTGCAATGACCGGGGTCAGCACTATTTCTGGGATGCAGAGAATCAGGCAGGTAGGTGATTGAAAGGCCAGCAGCAAATCAATGTTGATTGTCTGCTACCATGAGGTGTCGACTTGGAGCCCACCTGAGCCCTACCACTACCAGAGTGCAAATTGGGTTCTGATGACCGACATGCAGGGTGCATATTGGCAGTGCAGATCCAGGGAAGACTGTGCAGGGGTCAGTGGAATCCTCAGTCGTGCCGCCCAGTCAAGTTGCTCCCTAAGCTTCTGCGTGGGGTGGTGATCGGGCTGAGGTTTTTACGAGTCTGATACAAGCTGGCATCGACGGCAGGCTCTGGACCAAAATGGATCCCCGAACTAGGGTTTTGGGTTCGCGTGGGATTTTTAAATTTAGATACAATTCAGAATCTTCCAATTAAGAGTTCGTAAAAGGATCCACTTGTTCTAGGGGTTGGGGTGATTAAAACGTTAAAATTTACACACTAAACCTTGAATTAAACCTAGATGCTCAACCCCCCTCATAACAGGGGGTAACTGTTTTTTGCCCTGTTGCAGGGAACCAGGTTTCGACAATGTGGTTCTCAAGCTTGAGTTTGGTGGTTTCAGTTTAGGGTTCAGGGTTTAGGTTCACGAGTCTGGCGCCCCAAGGTCTACTGCTATGTACTCCCCTACGGATAGTAATCAAGGCCTGATATATTACAAATATACAATGGGGAGTGACCAGCATGAGGGGGCGGGGATTCTAAACAGATATTGAACCGCAGCACCTCAGTGGGTATTTTGGGTCGCCACCAGCGGAAGTCAGTCCCATTTATTACAAGAAGGTGCCCCTAGCTAGTTATGTACTGCTTTGGATGAATCGAGGGCCATCTAGCTTCAGCGGCTGTTTGAGTGGCCTGGCTCTCCTGGATGGACGAACATCTTTGGCTACACCAATTCTTGCCACCTAAGCACCCGAGTTGCGCGTTGATTCCCTAATCAGAGTCAGAGTATCCTGTCCAGGATGGCCAGGGCCGCATCTATTGGAGCAATCCCGTTCGCCATATTCGCTTCTTCGAGCCAGCCCGGACTTGATGCCAGACCTACGCATCTCTCTGCAGAACTGGCGCTGCCGGACCGGGGCCACTGGCAAAGTGGCACCAGATCGAGGTCTGGGATGACGATGGAGCTTGGAGCTGTGAGAAGCTGTGCCAAGCCCTCCAGGTCATAGGCAAGGCCTCAGCCACTTTGGTTGACCAAAGCGCTGAGGCGGCGAGCTGAGGCTGCGAGCGGCAAAAATGGCCTGCCCAGGCTGAGGATGGCTGTGGTGCAGAGGGCACTGAACTGAACATGCCTTGCGACTTTCAATGATCTTCTGAGCGAACCCTGCCATGTGCTCGGCTTGTGCATCTGGGGAGCCGCAAAGCCAGGAATTTCGGAAGTCCAATTTAGTACATTTGAAGCCCTCAAACCCTCTTTGTCGAACCCGACAGCAAGCCAAGAGGCATCAGAAGCCACAGCTTAGCCAAAGCAAGCGAAGAAACAAGTCACAGAAAGGTTCCTGTGGCATAAACGTACATCCGTTGCGGCACTCTGGGGTAGATGTGACTCTAACAACATAGTCAAGCTGCTTACAACAACATCTTTGTGCACGGGGTCCCGCCATGTGGCGTTTTTCTGACATGGCGGAAGGATTCAGGCCGGACAGCGTTCTGCACGGGTTTCCGAGGCAATCTTGCCTAGCTGGTTACTGCAGGCAGCTCGAGCTGCGCCCCGGCACCCTGGTAAAGGAGCTGCGCTGGTCTTAGATATGGATAGGGAGACGGCCTGTGCAGCACCTTGAATCATTTAGTTGCTGCCACTGCAGGCCACCAGAGCTTGGATACTGGTGCGTGTGCATTGTTGGGATCCTGAGCTGCACGTGGGACGCGAATGCAGCGTGCATCCTGTGTTCATGCTATCATGCATGCGTAGCCGTGCATATTGTTGTATTCCCTACATTCATTGTAGCGCCGGCATCCACACACACACATACACCCTCACACACACACAAACAAACACACACACACACACACACACACACACACACACCCGCGCGCGCACACACACACGC